TTCAGTCAGAGAATGATACTATCCGCTGATCAACTATCAGATCGATTTATTTACAACTTAAACGGAAAAATATGACGTTTCACTTAACACTGCAAAAGGAGGAATACAAAATCTGCCATACTCAATGCGCATGGGCGTACCAATATCATTACTTTTTCGTACAATTCAAATCCTCGACAAAGCAGGATCACAAGTACATGGGTGTTATCGATTCTATCGCATTTGAATTTTAACAAAGCGAGCTGCCAATAAAACATCAAATTGTCATAAAACAAACTGAAGTACAGAGCTAAACTAGCATATAACTGACGTATCCGCCTCCGCGACACGACACTGACTTAATAATATATAAAAAATAATACAACACCCATATACCCGTCATCAGCCGGAAGATGATACGACCAATGCTTTTTCTATGACACCACTGGTTAACAAAAAATTAGACTTACTGAACATAATGACATTACGAAACTGTATTATATTGGATATATGTCACAAAAGCCGAACAAGTTGGCATTACAAAACGAAACTTAAGAAATAAACAAGTTTCAGTGAACATCGCAAGGCACATGCAGGAACAACAGGAGTCATTATTAATTAAAAACGATGTCGGTGATGTCTGCCTGCAGAAGAAACCATTTTGTCATTTGGCGAATCATCTTCTGTGATTTGAATCTACCTTCTTCTAAAATCAATCGTTAATTATTACAAATCGAATTGCACAAAGATTTGTGAAAAGGCAAAAATGGGTTCTCTAATCCTGTCAAATGTGGCAGTGTTATTTGACACAATGCTAATCATTATTATTAGTGTTATTTGCTCACTATGCCAATTTTTATTCAGTCACATGGAAGGCGAGCCTGGCACTACAAAAACCCGTTATTTCTAGAAGACCTGCTATAAGGTGTTCCTGACAGAGCCAATAATGACAAAAAATACAGGCTAAACGACAGAGATCTGACCAAAGTTCCCTGTTTCTTACAATTATCGTATCACTTCGTCATTTCAGCGAAATCGAACTTTAGGCAGAGTCGTTCGTTAAGTCTAGAACTGTTACTCTGCAGTGAAACAGTCAACTATGCTGCAGGTTAAACCTACCAAAGGTTACGTTATACGTTAAGGGAAACAGTTGGACCATACAAAGCGAATAATCTCAGGAAGCCATAGATGAAACCAGCAAATTTAAATTTACTATTCATAAACATTACTTCTTGGTGACCTAAACAGGAACAACGGAATGGCGCAGTAGATCACGAATTAACCTATGCAAAGCTAATAACTTTAATACTTATGATGAGCGTGAGACAAAATAACGCGAGATGCTCAAATGCCATAGAGCCGTGGACTGCATGAATGCCCCCACACTCCCCCCCCCAGAACAACTAGAAGCAAAGAGGAGGTGCGGTACAGCGTAAAATTTCGTCTTGAAGGAGATGCGCGTTTTTTGGTATACTCCAGGGTACGAAAAAAACAGTTATATGCTTATACGGTAGCAAATAACGAGTTTCAGTTCCTGGGAAAACGTTTGTAATGAGCGCAAGGAGAATCCAGCGGGTTAAATTATGTGAGATGCATCTGACAGTGCAGGTGCTGGAATAATTTAAAGCCTGAATATTTATATGACCTCTCTAGGCAACTAGCAGCAAAGGACGAAGCAATATACCGCATAAACTGGTCCTGAAGGAGTTATGCAACATTTAGCTTTAATACTTTTTGCAGTACTATGAATGGTTACAGTACCAGTGAACCGTAATTAATTAGTTCTGCATACCTGAATGTAAAACTCGTCACCATCTGTGACGTGAAGCGACTGCAACGTCACCCTTGGAAGTTTGAGTTCTTCAGCGCCGAACGTCGCAGCTTGTTCCATGCCAACGTAAAACAAGCGAAACCTAAATTAGTCAAATCAGCAACGATTCTGATACCGAAAGCAACAAAAAATCACTGATACAGTAATATACAGTATACAGTAAATAATATAACTTAGCACAGGTCACTGTAGCAAATGGAACAGACCAAAAAGTGTGCACTGCCTTTTCAGAGAGTCAGTTATAACGCCAGTTGTTAAGTTTACTTAATGATTTACCAATTTTACCTTGTCCCTACAACCATCCACGAAAGAACCTATCAGGGGTAAGGTCAGCTACGGTGTACCAGAGATACTCAAAATCATAAAATCTGACACTGTCGCTTCTGATTACTGTGTCAGGTATGCTAACACTTCCTGAGCCAGTCGTGCTTACAACACCAGGTCTTCGTTCAGATAACTTACTGGGGCAGGCCGCTCTATTCCTCGAGCTAAAAACCGTCATTTTAAACTACCACTACTAATAAAGGCTGTATCTGTAACCATATGGCAAGCATATAATGCAGATGCTTTAGCAAGAATGTCTACAGGGAGATAGGGCGTAAGACAGGTAAAAGTCATGCGATTACATGATGAACAATGAGCGTGGTAACAAAACTTCATCATCTGAAGATTCTGGAGGAATGAAAAAGAAATCTGGTAGCAGCTAGCATGTATACATATTTACGTTTCTAGGATTACTATATTTGTGACACTAGTCTTTCGCAAATCTTATGGTCCGGCGCTAATCCGTATTTCTATGGCATCATTTAGGAGCGTATAGATTATGAAGATAATACCAATAGCTGGATTGGATCCGGAATGTTCAAGAATACCCTTGTTTCAAGGTGCCTCTTTTCCGAAGACAGAAATCAGAATGGTTATAATCTGGGCAAACAATTAAGATTTCAGAGGTACTACCAGTGGGCATCTCTTGGCGACGCCACAAGCTATGAAATCACTGAACAGACCTTGCACTAGAAGCCTCGAGTACTTTCATCTTTGCATCATGCTCTGTATCCAGTCTTTGGACCCTGTTCGGTTAGGAGATGATACAGATCACTGGAAAAGTAGCCCAAAGCCGTTACTTCCACTAGCTGAGAAGAATGCGCTCGGCAAATGAACGAATGAACAAGCAATGTAGTAAGCGGAATTCATACCTTCCTCAGGGTCAAACTGATAGTCATGTTAAGATGTTGCTGTGATCTTCTCCAGAAGGTGGATCGACTTGAGCCAGCAGACAAATCATTTGTCCGTTCTGCCATTTAAGCAATGCGATTACATTAGTCTAATCGCACCTGCCGACGTAAGACTAAGGAAATGAAAAGCTATTAACCTTGGGATATTGGTTTCCCTTACGATTTCATGATAATTGCCCATTTTGGGCGCCCTTCATCTGAAAAAAAATTAACGGTACGGCGCTGATCTTTGTTCCTGTCCTATCAGTCAGCAATGACTTATTTTACAATAATGATTTGCATAATCTCCAATTTCCTTTCCACAGATTGGTGCTTATTTACGAACCTTGGCAGGAAGAAAGGTGAGTGATCTGACTGGGGCTCGAACTGAAGACCTCTCGGTTCTGAGTATGACCCTGTAACAACTGAGCTGCCACAGTTTACACGAACTAATGGAGGACTATTCAAACGACAGTACGGACCACTTATCCAACAGCAGGAGACGTAGTCAACAACGACAAAGACAACAGCTGAACAACACCATTATTTCTACCTCAAAGAAGGCTCGTTCGAAACGAGTTGAAACGCTGGCATTCTCCCATCATCTGACAGATGGCGTGTATTGCAAAGTATAAAGAAAATCCGTTTTTGGTACTGCTATGCCTTTCATACCAAAGGGTATATCGAATATATCGGTTATGAAACAAAGCATGGGAAAAATTTTTACCCGCCGATTAATCAAATGTTATCACCTTCTTGACGGCAGGCCG